TTGGTGCACGACCATGCCACCTACGATATGATGCTGAAAATGTGCCGCCCTCCATCCGTGTCTTTTGATTGACGTCCCCGCTCGGAGCTAACATGGCAAAACATGTCCTACATACATGTGCGATTGAACCAATCATGCCCCGTGCGCGCACGAAACCGCAACAACACGACTCGGCCTCTCACGCCCAGGCTCACGGGAAGCACGCTGCGAGAGCACAAATTGAAATACACACGCCCACCATCCAACAATGTCTAGTGTTCTGGCACGGGGAAGGCAGACGCAACGCTGACAGATGCAGCATCCCTCCGTCTACATGCGAACGAGGCTGCGGACCGAGAGAGCACACATGATATCATTCGGCAGCCCGCTGAGAATGATAATCAACAATCAAGCAATGCTGCTCGGCGTCCGTAGCGTAAAAAATCGCAACAGATTAAAGATGGGCCGGTGTTTTGTATTGAGAGACAAGCTTTAGCCACATCCAGCGCACGAGAGAACTCCAACTTCGCTGGCAACTTAGCAGAAGCGTCTGAACGCCGTCAAACTTAAATGTGCCTCCGACGGCCACGGTGGAAATAGAAGACTCTGGGGGGGGAGCGGGGGCGTGGGGGAGACGATGGAAGCACAAGGCATGAAGAGGAGGAACCGCGTCGAAAGTGCTAGCGTTCCGCCACGAACCGCATCGCGCCACCCTCGAGAGACGGAGAAACCAGACTGCGGGGCGAGAAGGGCACCCCTCATGGTCTAGACTTGCCAGACCGTCAAGACTGACAGGCTATCTGGCTGACGAGGCGAGCGAGGCTGGCACCGACGCGTGGCTAAGCACGCACGGGCGCCCTGCCTGTAGGCGAGATCTTCGTCCTCCACGACCCGTCCACCTATATCCTTCCTGCCTTTGGCGCCTGCGGTTGGCGCCTTTGGTGGAGCTCCCAATGTGGCCACGATTCTCGTGAGGGGTGTGCCGAAGTGGCCCGAAGCCGCCACGCGAACCTCGCCACTGGCGCCTTCGGTGGAGCCCCCTGTCGGGCCACGCTACTCGTGAGGGGTGTGCCGACATGGCTCGAAGCCGCCAGTGAACTCTGCCAATGACGCCTTCGGTGGAGCTCCTTGTCGGGCAATGGCCCTCGCGAGGGGTGCGCCGACGTTGCCCGCCGCCGCCGTGCGAAACCTGCCGCTGGAGCCTTCGGTGGAGCTCCTTGTCGGGCCACGATCCTCGTGAAGGGTGTGCCGAAATGATTCGAGCCACCATGCGAACCCTGCCATTGGCGCCTTCGGTGGAGCTCATAAGGGGTACGCGCCGTGTGAGGGGCGTGCCGAAGTGGCACAAAACCGCCATGCGAACCCTGCTATTAGGGACTTCGGTGGAGGTCTCTATGAGGCCACGCGCCGTGTGAGGGGCGTGCCAAAATGGCCCGAGGCCGCCATGCGAACACTTCCAATGGCGCCTTCGATGGAACTCCCATGGGGCCACGACCCTCGTGAGGGGTGCACCGAAAGTGCCTGGGGCCGCCGCGCGAAGCCTGCCAATGAGACCTTCGGCCGAGCTCCTTATTGAGTCATGAGACGCTGCGTGGGGCTTGCCGAAACAGAAACGCGCGGATAGCAAAAGCAAGGACGGGGGGGGGAGGAGGAGGAGGAGGAGGGAAGGAGAGAACGAGGAAGGAAAGGAGGAGAGGAAAGGAACGCGCGGCGCCGTCTCTTCAAGACAACGCCCCAACAAAGCAGGATGTTTAGGACAAACACAAAGAGGCAGCACGATCACGAACACGATTTGAAGCACGATTTTTGAAACCTGACAAACAAACCCCGAAGCACGATATTTGCACGAAATCCTGGGTGGGCAGTGATCATGCCCAAATGCTTCTGACATAGGTCTCAAAACCACCATGGCGCGCGCACCAAGTCTGTCAAAACAAAGAATGCGGGCCACAAGGGCGCGTCCTCCGTGCGCGCGCGTGGGGATATGTCCATAACCACTGTCGGGCTTTCCAACCACTTCAGGCCATGCGTGTTCTATAACAGACCCAAACCAAGCGGTTCAGGATGGAAAGAGACGCGGACAAGGACGACGATGACAAGAACTCTGCAACCGCGGGAGGCGAGAAAGGACAATCAATGGGAGGAACTAAGGAGGAGGGCGAGAAGGAGGAGGAGGAGGAGGAGGAGGAGAAGGAAGAGGAGGAGGAGGAGGTGAGAGCATTATCTGGCCGCCCCCGAAGCCTCGCTAGCACGCCGCTGCGATTCAGCAGCGCCAGCCGCTTCAAAATGGTCGGACCACCAGGCGGGGCCATCGCGCGGCCGAGCGCGGCGGGTCCCGGCGGGGCTACCGCAGCGCGTTCCGGAAAAGGCGGTGAGGCGGCCAGCTCCTCGTCACCCGTCTCGTGTTCCCTCCTCCTCCTCCTCCTCCTCGCTCCTCCTCGCTCCTCCTCCTCGCTCCTCCTCGCTCCTCCTCCTCCTGCTTCCTCCTCCTCATCCGCCCTCCGTCTCCTCCCTCCCCCTCGTCCACCCTCCTCCCTCCCTCCCGACCATTCCCTCCATGTCCAAGTAATCTCCGACCTTCTCGAACTTGGAAGAGGATGAGAAAGCCAGGGGCGATCAGGGGACCCCATACCCCCGGGGGCGCCGACAGGCAGCTGCACACCGCGACACACAAGTACGATCACAGGGCACCAACGGATTCGGCACCTGCCAGCGGGTACCGCGCGGCTGGCTGCGACCCCGCGGGCCAGTTCCTCGGAGCGGAGGGGGGGAAGGACCCCTACGTGCAACCACCCTCAAAAACAAAGTCGAGGAGAAACAAAAATCGTTCGAGGAGGTACATTTTCCGATGGGGGAAATGCTACAACATTTTCTGAGGGGGGACGCCGAATAAGGCGGGGGGAAGCTCGGGAGCGGCCCCGTGGACACGTAGCGTGCCCCCGTGGAGGAGCATCCTCAGGGCGCGGCAAGCTGTACCCTACATGTATGTTATTCCCATCGTACTTAAGGACGACATCCGAAACATAATTTCGAGCACCCACCCAGGAAAGTATCAAAACAGTGTCAAACGAGTATCGCCTCCCATGGCCCGACACGTGAAAACCCCTACGGTTCGGTACTTTCCTGGTGCTCGAAATTCTTTCTGGTGGTCAAGGTTACAGTAGGTTGGAACATCATAACCCTACATCCAGTCTAGGACCCAAGGTGAGCGTTTTCTTACTCGGCACTTCGACACTGGGCGGAAGGGGTGGGAGGGGGGGGTTCTGGCTCTGGACCTCTGCTCAGTGCGACGGTTTGCAACCGTGCGCCCTATTGGGGAGAAGACTCCACTTGCTCGAAACAGCCGCCCAAGACAGCCAAGACCCACTCCATCGGCAAGACAATGACTAAGGGGCATCCCCCGTGGGTTTAGGCGCCCTGTCGCTTATAGAGGGGTTCCATCACTCCCTTCCCTCCTTGCGCTTCCCCCCTCCCCTTCTCCTTCGCCCTACTCGGAGACACGAAAGCTAATCTTGATGTTCGTTCGGTGTATACACACGCGCAGGGTCGTCCTCACGTCCTTCGACCCTCGCCCTCGTCTGCTTGCACTGGCTCCTCACGCTTGTCTTCAGCTGCGTTTTATCCTCCTCCTACTCCTCCACATCATCCTCCTCCTCCTCATCATCCTATTCCTCCTCATACTCGTCATCCGCATGCAACCTATCCCCTCAACACTGGCCCCTTCCTCACGACGCCACGTACCTTCTCGACAGTACTTCTGATCTCCTCACCGTCCTGCCACCCAATGCGAGCATGCCCGTAACTCGAACTGCGGCTCGACCTTGCTCTCACATTCTCGTGTTCGTCGGCACGCGCCAACTCTTGCGTGGTCCTAGTTCGGAACTCGAAACCACAATCATGAACAATAATCGAGGCACATTAGTATTATTACCGTGGCCATCGCCAGCAGAGTTCCCTAACACTGCCATGCTTAAAGCCTTCCACCTCCGCGCTGTCTTGGATGCAGACTGGCGCAGCGTACGCAAGCGGAGCCCACACACTCAATCAAACATGATCAGGGCACATGCAGCATGCACAAGAAGACCAGCGGACACACAAAAAACAATTGAGCTCCACACTCGCGCCAATGTGATCATGAACACATTCATACACACTGAATGCTCACGTGTGTCCATATGCATCTGTCCGCCACTTTTCCCATGCAGCGTTGGGCGTGTGACTAACACTGCCAGGGTTGACTTTCAGGGTTTCGGAAGTAGGGGCGAACCTTCAGTACGTCACACTGTTGGAGTTCGCCACCCTTCCTGCTCATGCCAGGCGCTCTTCGCTGTCTGGGAACAAGCAAGCTGTGCCCAAGAAGTCCGAGCCAAGCCTCAAGATGGCCTCAGGATTTTCCCAGACGGCCCGGACGCCGACCCAGACTCCTCCATGCCAAATAGCCACCACAGGCCTTCTGAAGAGGCCACGGAGGGACCCCGTCATGATTCAACGACGCCATCCATTGGAATCCATAGTGCGAGTTGCTGGCTCTGCTGCCTGTGAGGGGCAGCGAGGAAACCAAAACGTTTCGGAAGACGCCCACCGAGCGATCACCGAGAGGCACTTAGGTTGCCCCAAGAAGGCCCGCCCTGGATGACTTCACAACACCTCTCCGGGCGAGCTCGACAGAACCATCGCGCCCCAGACCGCTCAAGAGCCCCATTCGCAAACCGAAAGCTGCACGCACCAAGAGACACCTCCTTAGCTCGGCAGGGTGATCTTATCGGTATTTATGCCCGCCCGCAAATTTCAGCAACCACTGTCATAAACACAACGTAACGCAACGACTGACAATATCCAGAATCCATGCGCAAGCTTGCCACAATTCACGCGCATCCCACCGCCTGGGATGTGACGTGCGCATGCTCTGCTCAAGGCTACCAGCGAATGGGCCATGACCCCAGAATAGCGGCACTCGTAAATCTCCGCACCAGCCCAGTCAAAGTCCAAAGGAAGGGAAGGCTGAAAACAAGGCGGGGGGCCTCCCGGTCTGGAACTGCAACGCCATCGGCTGTCATGCTGATAGCCGCGCTTGTTCCAACTGACAACGGGCGACCTGAAACCAGTACGCTTGACAGCGAGGCGCTTGACGACTACAGCTTTTCTAGACGAGATGAGGCTCGAGGAGGGCGGCAGATAGATGTTTCAGAGCAGCGCTTGCACCCAGTTCTGAGGCGTTCGAGCCTTTTTTGGACGCGCCTGCATCTGCGTTGTGCTGTTTGAAGTGCATGCGCACGCATCGCGCCGTTTGAAGTGCATCGCGCATGGTGCCGTTTGAAGTGCAGACGGCACGTGCGTCACGCATCTTGCCGTTTGCAGAGCGTGCATTTGTCACTGCATGCGCACAGGGCTCCCCTCGCAGGTGTGGGCACTTCCCGGCTGCTGCGCCGTCGCCGAGGGCACAGGCTCGGCCGGCGTGTTGGCGGCGCGCAAGAGAGGGCATGGGGGAGGGAGGAAGGCTTCTCAGAAGCATCCTGCTTCTTAGAAGGCCCCAGCCTTCCGTCTACAGTTAAGGCCCGCGCCTTCTAAGAAGCAGGGGGTGCTTCTGTGGAGACCAAAAAGGTACCGATACCGCTACTCCCCGGACCTCTCCCGGGGTGCGTGCTGACCAGAATTTCGAGGCGAATCCAACGGTGGCGACGAGGGCCTCCGAGGAGACCCCCCAAACAAGGGGAACACGGGCGGAGGGTAGCAGTATGGGTACCTGTTTCTCCTCTGAGTCCCTCCCCCCTTTCCCCTGCCCCCTCCACCCCTCCCCCCCTCTCCTGGTACCTAGGAAGCCCTCCCCCCTCCCCCCTGCCCCCCTCCGCGCGTGGCCGAGCCTGGCCCTCCCGGTCCCGCGACGAGAAGAAAAACGCGCCGAGGCGCCACGGTGCCGCTGCCGCGGCTCCGCCCCGAGGCTGCTCCCGGCCCGAAGGGCCCCCTCCGCGGGTTCGCACGGGGACCCTCGCGGGGCTGGGCCTCCACGCTGCTTCTCGCTGTGTGCTCGTTTTTTGTGCGTTCGTTTTGTGCGTTGATTTTATTTCGGCGTTTCGACCTTGGGCGGAAAGGGGGGGGGGCGGGTTCGCACGGGGAGCCTCCAGGGCTGGGCCTCCACGCTGCTTCTCGCTGTGCGCTCGTTTTTTGTGCGTTCGTTTTTGGTGAGGTTTTTTTTTTTAATTTCGGCGTTTCGACCTTGGGCGGGAGAGGGGGGGTCGGGAGGGAGGGGTCTGGCTCCGGACCTCTGCTTCATGCGACGGTGTGCAGGAGTGCGGCCTCTGGAGGAGACCCCACCCGCTCAAAACTGGCGCCAAAAAACAGCCAAGATCTACTCCATGGGGGGGGGTGAGGCCCGCGCCGATCGGCAAAATAATGAATAAAAGCAAACACTTTGATCTGCCTGTTTTCCTGTACCTCCCTGCCTAAAATGAATAATAAAACACCGCCGAAGTCCAGCAACACAGCGTTTGGACCAGTCCTGGAATCCTCCAATGCGGCGCCGTCCTCGCCGACGACCGCCGTGCGAATGAAACTTCAAAGGCCCCACCCCCCCTCTTTTGGAAGCGACGAAAGCAGGTCACAAGGGAGGGGGTTCGGAAGAGCCCAAGGTGCTTCCGCCGCCTGGGCCATTCCTCAAGAAGCAGCTACTGGGAGGTCTTCGTCGGAAGGATTAAGAAATATTAGCCCCTATTGGGGGGCTGTCACGCCAGATTGGGCCACATATCGAAGCTGGATTCAGCGGGATTAAACTGGATTAAAAGATCTGGCCGGAGTGAGCCAGATTTCGGCCCAGGGCAAAATCAGAATTGACCCTCCCAGGAGTTGCATCCGAACATGCCCGAGAAAAGGGTGGCAGAGGGCTGCTTGTATCTGGTCAAAATAGCACGACGGGGAAAACCGCAAACTTCTCATTGCACCGACACTGCAGACGTGCTGCAACGGATTTTCGCGTGGACTTGCGTTAATACGAAACCCCGAAACAGCGACCGAATAACGAGGTGCACTTCACGCGTTTATTTTTGTGGTCTTCATTCTTGGCCAAAAAGTCCGCGCGAAATTCACTTCGACATCCGGAACGACGTTCTCCAGGACACTCTGGGTTCATCCCATTGTTTTCCTAACCAAATCCGCTCTGCGATGCTGGCGCCATGAGACTTCTAAGACACGCCCCCAGGTTATTACGCACTCGTTGCTGCTCACAACCAAATCCGCCGACCCCTTGTGGGTCTTTAAGCGTGTGAGATTCCCCCCCAATCATACCCCCCCAATGACCCCAAACCGGCAATTCGACCCCCCCCCCTCGCCCAGCCCGACCCTGGACCGAACGCGCCACAGGGAAGCGGAGGGCTCCAAAACAAACCAAAAAGCCACCAAAACGCTGACCAGACGGCCCCCGGGGGCCACGATTCGCCGACAGATCGCCCCTAGACGCCCAGGATTGCCTCCAGGCGGTTTCCGAAGCTGCCAAGACGCCCCAAAAGGCCCCCAAGATGCGCCCCAAAAGGGTCGCAAGAAACAGAAATCGGCCCATTTCCCTTCGAAAACCAATCATTTTTTGGCACGCTCGCCTATTCGGCTTTCACAACGTCCAAAACAGGCGGCCACAGGGGCCCCAAAGAAGGGTCGAAGAGGGTCCAACAACAGCCCACGAAACCCCCAAGACAGCCCAAGAGGGCCCCCAGACGGCTCCAAGACGGAGTCCAGAGGGCACCTGTTTCGAGCCGTCGGCCCCGAGACGCCCCCAGCCTGCTCCGAAAACACCCAAAAAGGCCCTGAGGGACCTCCAAGAAAACCTCCGAAACTTCCCAGAAGCCCCAAGGAAGTCCCCATGAGGCCCAACAACTACCTGCAAGACGACCCCGGCCGGCCTCCCACGAAAGCCTCTTAACCATCCGTGTTGCCGCATACCTGCAAACCAAGCAAGGTGGCGGGACGCGCCGTGTCCCATTCGACAAACCACTCGTCCGGTTTTTGGACCGAGACCTCCCGTCATCGAGCGCGGGTGTTCGCAGGTATTTCTCCATGTATGCACGGCGAACACTTCGAAAGTCAGCCACGAAAAGCCGCGCAGACCACGCAGTATCCCTCCACCATCTGACATCGCCCCCGCCTCCAGAGCGCCCCGAAAAGACCCCACAAAACACCCCTCATATTCTGACCCCCTACCAAGCCGATTTGACCGACGGCCATGACAAATTGCACGGTCCAGACACCTGCACAGGGTCTCGACATCCAGGGCGACGCACACACTGTCCGAAGTGTCGGACATCTTTCCAAAAGGCCACCAGAGACAGGAAAGAGCACACGCCTCTAAATCACATCGTCCCTCCTCCTTCTCCTCCTCCTCCTCCTCCGATGACCCTCCTCCGCCTCTCCCCCACCCTTACCCGACTCCTCCTCCTCTTCTGCTTTCTCCTGCTTGCCTTTCCTCATTCATCGGCTTCGTCCTCCCTCTCGCTCTCACCCCCGTTGGCCGTACTTCTACGGATCATGGCAGTGGCGATCGCATGGGTATCATTTGCATGCCTTGCATTTCACGGTGCCCTTCTTTTCGTCGCGCGCGACATTGCTGCTGTCCACGGAGGGAGCCCGCCCACTCAAACAAAAAGACAACACAAATACGCCCCAGGACAGCAACACGACATCCCCAGGTCGATCAAGGGGTCGGCGGATGTGGCGTGAGCCTATAGAATAATTAGTTTGTTGGTCTGGTTCGCTCCGCCAACGTGCCCCCTGGCATGTTGAGGCGCGCTAGACTGCCAGGGGCTGCTCTGCAGGGTGCACTCAAGCCCTTCCCCCCCCTCTGCCAGCAGCGTGCTGCGTGCATTCCCCACCCCCCCTGCCTCTCGGGGCGGCCCGCCACCTCCATCGCGGCCTCCTGAGCTTCCCCGGTGCCCAAGTAGTGGCTTCCAAGGACGGCCCTGGCAAGCCGCCACCGACGCCGCGAAGGTAGCACCACAGATGCCTCCAAGACGGCCCACGAGGGCACCAAGACACCCCCAAAATGGCCTCTGAGGCTCCCGATGCGGCCTGCGAGGGCTGTCAGGAGGGCCCGAAGAGGCGAACATCGTAGATTTCCCGATGGTGTTTGAATGATGTTCGTGCTGTCAACTTGTCGGGCTTCCGACAGCTCCAGTCGGCCCACTGCACCTGCAACATGGCCCCAAGGCGGGCCGAGAAAGCCCCCGAGGCTACACCCGAGGAAGCCCCCGAGACTGGCCACAGCACATTCCCTAGACGGTCTGAAGCAGCCCCAAGACGGCCGAAGAGGCTCCCAAAACTGCCCAAGGGTGGCCCAAGACGGCCCAAAAGACGGCCCCAATTCATCCCCCAGACTTGCGGCAGGGCCCAGGATGGCCCAAGAGAGCCCCCAAACGGCCCAAGAAGGCCCCAAGACGACCCAAGAACGCCATAAGACAACCGAAGGGGGGGGTCCCAACATCGCCCACGACCGCCCCACGAGGGCCCAAGACAGCCCCAACACTGCCAAACGTTTTCCAACGAGAGCTCCCAAATTACTCTGGCGAAGGACCCCGCAATTTGCATGTGTGAGTCACGCAGTACTGAGTATCGTTCTAGGTGGAATGGTGGCTACGAGACGTGTGAGTGGTGTGCCAAATATGACATGCGGTGGGGGGGAGCCGCATGTGAACCCTTCCACTGGGGCCTTCGGTGGGGCGCCCTATGGGGGCACGAAGCGTGTGAGAGGTGTCCAGGAATGGACAGGAGGTGGGCAGGGAGCTGCATGCGGACCCTGCCACTGGGATCTTTGTTGGGGCTCCCTCTGGGGCCACGAAGCGTGTGGGTGGTGTGCCGACGTAGACATGCGGTGGGCGGGGAGCCGCATGTGAACCCTGCCACTGGGGCCTTCGGTGAAACTTCTTTTGAGGCACTCAACGTGTGAGGGGTGTGCCGAAATGGACTTGCGGTGGTCGGGGAGCCGAATGTGAACCCTGCCACTGGGGCCTTCGGTGGGGCTCCCTGTAGGGACACGAAACGTGTGAGGGGTGTGCCGAAATGGACTTGCGGTGGGCGGGGGGCCGCATGTGAACCATGCCACTGGGACCTACGGTGGGGCTCCCTGTGGGGACACGACACGTGTGAGGAGTGTGCCGCAGTGGACATGCGGTGGGCGAGGAGCCGCATGTGAACCCTGCCACTGGGGCCTTCGATGGGGCTCCCCCTATGGGAAGACGAAGCGTCTGTGTGGTGTGCCGAAGAGCATCCGGTGGGCGGGGAGCCACATATGAAAGCTGTCACTGGGGCCTTCGGTTGAGCGCTATATGGGGCCACGAACCATGTGAGTGGTGTGCCAACATGGACATGCGGTGGGCGGGGAGCCGAATGTGAACCCTGCCACTGGGGCCTTCGGTGGGGCGCCCTATGGGGACACGAACCTCGTGAGGAGTGTGCCGAGATGGGCATGCGGTGGGCGAGGAGCCGCATGTGAACCCTGCCACTGGGGTCTTCGGTGGGGCTCCCTATGGGGCCACGAGACGTGTGAGCGGAGTGCCGAAATGGGCATGCGGTGCGCGGGGAGCCGCATGCGAGCGCCACTGGAGCCTTCGGTGGAGCTCACAGTGGTTACACGACACGGGTGAGCCGTGTGCTGTAATGGGCACGCGCAGGCAGAGGCAGGGGTGGGATGAGGGAGGAGGGGGGAGGGGCAGCGGGAGGAGTGGACCGCGGCGCTGCGGACTCAAAACCAGGACCCAACACCCGGGGATGGCTGGGAGTCCTGCTCCTCCTCCTCCTCCTCCTCCTCCTCCTCCTCCTCCTCCTCTCCTCCTCCTCCTCCTCCTCCTCCTCCTCCTCCTCCTCCTCCTCCTCCTCCCCCTCCTCCTCCTCCTCCTCCTCCTCCTCCTCCTCCCCCTCCTCCCCTCCTCCTCCTCCTCCTCCTCCTCCTCCTCTCCTCCTCCTCCTCCTCGCCTCCTCTCCTACCTCACTCCTCCTTCCTCCTCCTCCTCCTCCTCCTCCTCCTCCTCCTCCTCCAGCTGGCGAGCCCGCACCACGGGCAGTCCCCACGCCGCCTCCGCCTCGCTCTCTCGTGCCCGCGGCCCCCCCGCTGCTCGCTGGGCGCCGCCGTGGTGCTCGGCAGCACGGCGCCCGCAGCGCCGGGCCTCCGGCGGCCTCGCCCACCGCGGGCGCCGCCCGCCGAGGATGGGCGCGGCCCTCCGGGCGGCAGAGCGCGCCAGGCGCGCGGCAGCTGCTGAGGCCGGTGCTGCAGGCCCCCGAGGAGGGCGGCGAGGGGCGACCACCTGACGCTGGGGGTGCGAGGCGCCGCCGCGTCGCCTCCCACGGGGCCCAATGCGGGAGGAAGCTTCCCTGGATGTGGTGGAGGTGGGCGCGGCGCCGCCCCTGGAGCGACCTCGCCCCGCTGCCGAAGTGGCGCAGAGGCCACCGCCGAGGCGGCCCCGCTTTCTGCGACGACGGCGGCGGCAGCAGAGGTTTCATGCACAGGTGGCGCGAAGAAGCCCAAGAAGCAGAAGGACAAGAGGAGCTCGCAGGCCGTGGAACCTAATGCAGACGACGACGACGACGACGACGACGACGACGACGACGACGACGACGACGACGACGACGACGACGACGACGACGACGTGGCGCTCGCCGAGGCTTTCAAGGAGGCGGACGAGGAGCGCGCGGCGGCGGCAGCAGCCCTCGTTCACCTCACCGAGCACGTCGGCGACCCCATCTCCACGATTGTCGATATCTTGCGGAAGCAGGTGAAGCGTCTCGCTCGCACAACGATGGAATGGGCAGGTGCCGTGCTCAACTGCGGTGCGGGACAGGCTGGCGCAAGTGTGCCACTTACGCCACCTGCCCGCCTAAACTGCTGCAGCTATTGTGTAAATGTAGCTGGGAATAACAGCGGATGTATCCTGCACGTCCGCTTGCTCAGCCTCTGAAGTTCGACAGGGCATGCCAGAAAAGAACTGAATGTCGCCAGCGACTCCAAGACAAGGGAGGCTCGAAGACCCGAGCGGGCGCGCGCAACCCGCGTCCGAAGGGGGAAGGGAAGCGGGGGAGAAATAGGGGAGCCGGAGTGGAGTACACTGACTACGCACTGCAACAGGATAGCCAGAATCTCGCTGCTGATGGTTGTGTCCGAGCTGTGTGGGCCATGCGCACTTGAAACAAGAAATCGCCAGCTTCCCAACTGATGGGAAGGGGGCCCCTCGATGCTACAGCGTCGCACCGAGGCCGGCACAACCAAGGCAAGTCGGCGAGAACGTGGGGAGGAGGAAAACGAGACGACGACGACGACGAGGACGACAAGCGTCTCGAGCATGAGCTGCGGGTGGCTGGGCGCAGCCGTTCGCCTGGCCGCATCCGCACAGTTACGAAGCCCCTTCGGGCCGCTCGCGCGGGGTACGCCGACTTCCTGCCAGAGTTTGGCAGCGGGCGTGCGGCATCGAGATCATGATCGAGTCCCTGGCGGCCCTGACTGGCCGTGCTGCTGCAGCAGCCGTGCTGTTCCTCGTGGTGGTCGGCCTGGCTTGCTGCCGCGGTGCCTGGTACCAGGCAGGCGCGACCGCGGCTGCGCCGTTTCGGCGCCGCTCATCCTCGTGGTGTTCGGGGCGCCCATCGTCATCTCCGAGGGCTGACAGACTGCTGGCGGCGGCCCCGCAAGGGGCGGCGGCCGTGTGCCGAGCTGTACGTGGTCCTCGTCGCGCCGCATCGCGGGCGGTCTTCGGATTCGCCTTCACGGTCACTCCAGGTCAACCCATCCTTGGCATCATCAGCATCCCCATCAGCCTCATAATCCTTGTTATCCTCATTACGGCTCTCCCAAGCCTGGGGATACGAGGTGTCACACGTGACGGCCGCAAGTGCCCCCTCGAACAGTCGCCTCCAGGAATGCTGGGCTGGCACGGTGGCGGAACTTGCTGCAGGCTGCTGGGTGCATGTGAAGATGTGACGCCTCGTCCCCTTAATCCAAATACTATCTCTTTCAATCGATGATGGCTCCCATCTCGGAAAACTGCTTGTGCCGTCAGCGCTTGGAGCGGGGTGCCCTGCAGTCACCGCCCGGCCTCAGCGGGCCGCGGGGCTCTGGGGAACGGTCGGCCCCTAGCTGCGGGCCCAGCTCTGGCAACCCCAGCTGCTGCGGGGAGCTGGGATCAAAAGCACACCGCCTCCGAATGAAGAGACGGCTGGAACCCCAATCTCGAGGGCGGGGGCGAGGCACCATGCCAGGCTGGCGTGGCCTCACCTTCACGGCCGCTGAAGCCCTGCTGCGCACAGTCCCCGCAGTACCCCACCGTGCTGAGGTCTGACTTCACCTCGGCCGGGCACGGGAAGGCGATGCCATCCTTGGCCATGGACTCGCAGAAGTTCACGACGTCCCCAAGAGCTGCACGTCAGGGTGGCCCTCCACATTCTGGGCCTCGCTGAGCTGCCCCAGTCGAGACGCAAGGGGCGCCTTTTCTGTCCCGCTCGCCAGCCGCAAGCACGCAACGGACGGCAACTTCTATCCCGCCAGCAACGGAGGCCGCCTTGGGACAAGCGCGCGCCGCCCCCGATGCTGTCATCTCCAGCAGACGCTTCAACGTCAGAGCCCGACGCCGCGGGACGCGCCGTGCCCACTCGCTTGCCCACCCGCTCCGCGGCCAGCACTGCCGCGACCAGCGCTGCAGCTGCCGCAGGGGGCACAGTGCCAGCACCACTGGCGGCGCAGAGCGGGAGCACAAACAACGCACAGGGAGCGGCGAGGGAGCAGCGGGCGCGCCCTCCCCGAAATGGGGCCGCGCCCTCTCGCCCGGCACCGCCCTGTGAGAAGGGGGCCGCCTTCTGGTCGGCGCCTCCGGTCGGAGGCGCAGTGCGGGAGCACAAGCGCACAGGCAGCGGCCAGGGAGCGGCGGACGCGTCCACCCCCCGAAAGGGGCCGCGCACCTTCGCACCCGGCACCGCCCCCGTGCGAGACGAGGGGGCCGCGCTTTCTGGTCGCCGCACCTCCGGTCGGAGGCACGGGCCGTGGCGCTGCCTGCAGTCCGACCTGGTTCGCTCTCGCGCGTGCGGGGCCCTTCGGCGCCTCGGGCCATCGCGACGCAGGAGGGGAGGGGAGCTCTCGAGGGCAGGAGGGAGGAGGACCTTCTCCTCCTCCTCCTCCTCCTCCTCCTC